CCCCAAAACCCCAAAACCCCAAAACCCCAAAACCCCAAAACCCCAGTTATGCGATTTTAGGTTAAAATATTAATACAAAATGAAGGCTTCCTCTTTAAGGGACTGCAACAAAATAAAGTATGATCATGGGAACACTCTGAGAGTGAGGCTAAAGTAAGAAAATATACCCAGCTGCTGCAAAAGCAGCAGCTGGGTTTTCAAATTTCTTTGACCACACTTTATGTTATGTTAGTCATTTATATTGTTACTATCATTCTGTTTAGGAAAGATCTCAAGAAAATTAAAACTCTGAAGGAATTATCATTCAGCAGTGATTGAGAGAACACTAGAATTGGAGACTATGACTTACTTGAAAAGATCGGATCAGGATCCTCAGGGGATGTTTATAAAGCGAGAAAAACCGTCAAAATTTCTAATTATAATCCTTGTAGCTCACAGACTACACTCAAAGAGGAGTCAATTGAGTTGCTAGAGAATATCTCTCCTACTGGAATCAACAAGATATATGCCTTGAAAATAGTTTCTTTGACTAAGAGCTCCTCTTCTGGCAGGAATCAGAACAAGCTTAATGAAGTTAATTATATGAAAAACCTTTCTCATCCAAATATCATCAAATTTTATGAAGCTTTCAAAGTAGGAACAAAGCTCTGTATTGTTCTGGAATATGCAGATGGAGAGGATCTACAATCTATATTTAAGCATCAGAAAGAGAAATCTAGACACTTTTCAGAAAATTATATTTGGAGCCTAGCTTACCAAATTTGTTCAGGGCTGTTATACCTGATGTCAAAGAATATTATCCACAGAGACATCAAGAGTCTCAATATTTATACTTTCTCGAACGGCACTGTAAAAATAGGAGATTTTTCAGAAGCAATATTTTATAATGAGAAGCTCTTTGCTAATAAAAAGTAAGCTATTAGAAAAATTCAAATGGATTTAATAATATAGAAATATTCAAGCAGTAGGCACTCCTTTCATTGTTTCTCCAGAGATGCTAAAAAGACAAGTATATGGGTTTAAAACAGACCTTTGGTCGCTAGGAGTTTTGCTGTATCAGTTTGCATCGTTAAAACTTCCATTTGAACCTCCGGAGATTAAATATGATATTGAGGCCTTAAACCAGAGAATTCTGCATAAAGAGCCTAAATAAGATACCAGCAATGTATTCAAATAACCTAAATAATTTCATAATGCAATGACTTATCAAGAGGAAAGAAAAGCGGTAAGAGTCTATCTGACGCATAGCCCAACAATTATAAAAATGTTTGAATATTTTTCATCTGATTTAAAGTCAAAGTACCATTACACTGCCGAGATCAACAGCAGATTGATAAGTTTCTACGAAAAGAAGTATGCTACCTTTCATTATACTTAGGAAGAAAATAGCTGAGGATATTAAAGACCAAAAGCCTATCTCATTAAAGTTCACTCATCATAAGAGGTATAATAATATGCATAAGAGGATCAGGAATAGTAGATACCAATCTAATGTTTCCTATGCGAAATTCTTGCAAATATTTAATGGTGAGAAGGAACCAATGACCAATAAAGCCAGCGCTTAGGTACAAATTGGCTAATTTCTATAGGAGATCAATCTATATATGGCTATAACTTTATTCATCCAACTGGCAATGATAAATTTGAAGGTGGTTCAGTCATCTCTAACTCAGATGAAAATAAAAATCCTTGGTACAAATGAAAAAGGTAAAACTTTGCAATACATTTCTAGCTTTGATAACAACATTAACTGTGTATACTCAAATGGAGGACTCAGTAACTGAGTATCTCCAATTCCAAGACCTGAAAAAGATGGCTCAATTTCTTACTATAACTCTAAAAGCTTATGAGGAAGGAGGTATCTGTCTCAGAACCCCAATATCTCAAAGAAAATTACTATTAATTCCATCAACAAACAAATAGAAAACTGTAATGAGCTTAAAACCAAGATTCAAAAATACGTTCAGTCACCAAGTACAACACTTGAAGAGGATTCTTTCTCTAAGAAGTTCTCAGAGAGCACGAGTATTTCAAATCTACCGACTCAAAATGGACCAAAGCCTTTCCAGAAGAGGCAGAATTCAAAGAAAAAGTTTTCGATAGACTATAATAATTATATGAACAACACTCTAAATTCTGATACTAATGTAGGGATTTATGTAAAGTTTAGAAACATGTGGTGTCGACACTCACGCCTTACCAGAAAGCTCCAAAGAATTCAGTGAGATATTCAACCAATATTTCTATCAATTTCAACACTAATAATGTGCATAATAGCAATTGATACGTAAGTTTGAGAGTTTTTATTATACTTTAGGGCCGGATCCGCACATGTGAAAGGAAGAATAGAGACTCTAAGTCATTCAGTGAAATCGATTTCGATAATAATAAGAAAGTTATAAGTCCGAGAGCAAGGGAAAAACCTGAAAGGAAATGTAAAGGATCTAAGAAGCTGCCTATTCTAGCTCTAAAACCACCATTTACTAATCCTCGCGAGAATATACTGGTGCATGCAGCAAATGCTCCAAAGTTGACAAAGCTGTCGATAAAATTACTGAAGCACTAGCTAAGGTATGAATCCCTTTAAATATCATATTTTTTGTAAAAGTTATTATTTCAAGGTTAAATTTCATATTTGGGGTTTTGGGGTTTTGGGGTTTTGGGG